GCCCTCCTAGGTAAGCGGTGACCAGGCATGCGTAGCACGTGCCCGAGCCAACGTAACTTATTCAGTGCTATCTGTTGTTCTAGGGAGCTAGCATGATCATCACCCCCTAGTACTCGCCTACGCACATCATCGTTGCGGACACGCTGGTGCCATCCGACACCAGCAATGCTTCGCAAACAACGATGATCAAAGATTTGAAGGCGCCTCAGATCTTCAGACCGAAGGGGCCAAGTCTCACTACCATAGAGCAGAACAGCCCTCACTGTGGCCTTGTATACACGGCCTTTCAGACGGAGGGAAACTCCCTTCTGTCGCCAAAGATGACGCAGGTTCAAGAAGGCAGCTCTGGCCTTTGCAATGCGTGAGCTAACGTCAGTTTCTATGCGCCCATCATTGCTGATGCAGCTGCCAAGATAAGTGAATTGATCAACCACCTCGAGTTCCTCGTTAGCAAGCGTCAAGGGGTCATCGAGTGGCTGGTGGTCCTGCAGCAACACTTTGCACTTTGAAGGTGCGAAGTGCATACCAAATAATGGGACCACTCTGGATAGGCTATTCAGGGTTGATTGTGCCGCCTCAACATTGTCGAAAAGCAAGACGATATCGTCCGCATAATCTAGATCAACTAACCGTTCACCAGGCAGCACTTCAACACCTACATCGTGAGATTCCGCAAGGGAACACTCCATGATAGAATCCACGACGAAATTGAACAAAAATGGGGAAATCGGGCAACCCTGTCGAACGCCACTTGTAGTCGAAAAGCTATCCGATAGGGCACCATAGACCCTGACGCGGCCTCTAGTGTTCGAGTATAGAGCACGAAGGATGTTCACATATTTCGTGGGAACACCTTTCCGCGCAAGTATTTCGAGCAGAATCGATCGATCGACTGAATCGAACGCACTCTTGAAATCGAGGAACACAGCTATTGTCGGTCTGCGGTATGCGTGGCGCTGCTGTAGCACCTGCCGCAAAGTGAATATATGGTCTATACAGCCACGTCCTGGGCGAAAACCGGCCTGCTCTTCTCTAATCCGAGATTCCCGTTCTGCAGTGAGGCGACGAACGATAATCGAGGCCAGTAATTTTGTCACAACTGGCGTTAGGCTAATACCCCTGTGGTTCGCACAGTCTGTGCGACTGCCCTTCTTGTATATTGCCACTATAATCGATTCGCTCCAATTAGCCGGGACACTCTCTTCGTTCCAGATACGTTCGAATAGGGAGGTCAGTGCTTTGCAGAGGACCTCACCACCATCCTTAAATAGTGCAGGTGGTAGGGAATCCGGGCCAGCGGCACGAAAACGATTAAGGGCTGTGATCGCGTTTCGGACTTCGGCCTCCGACGGAGGCTCTAAACTAACCGTCCATGGCTCGTCCTGCATCACCTGAGTAGGAAGAGGTCCGGGAGCAGGGGGCCAGCTGAACTGATGTTCAAAGTGCTCAGCCCAACGAGCCATACGGCGCTGCTTATTGTGTATCAGCGCACCCGCGCTGTCCCTGATTGTCTCACTGACGCCTGGTTTTCTCGGACCAGTGGTGCGTATTAGCTGGAAGAGCTTGCGGTAATTGCCTACTGCTCCTGCCTCCTCCATTTCTTGAGCCCGACTGGTCCACCAGGCTTCCTTGTCAGCACGTAGGCTCCGCTTTAGTTCACGCCTAATAGCCCGTCTGGTCACATTGTGTTCAGAACCAGCCGGGAGGTGCCTTCTAGCTTCCAAAAGGTTCACAGACCTCTCGGATATCCAGTGACTGGTGCGATGACGACTGATAGTGCCACAAGCAGTTGCTCCTGCGTCGTGCATAGTGGCCGAGATCTTATTCCACTGAAGTTCAGTATGATTATGACAAGACAGCGAGAGTTCGCTATGCAGTGCTTCTTGATAGGCTTGCCTGACAGAAGGCTGGGACAATTTCTCCGTTGCCAATCGTGGGAGACGCTTTGTGCGCCTTCCGGTAAAGTTCATGGAGAAACGACAGCGCACCAAGGCATGGTCAGAGTCGACACAGGTACTTCAGTACGAGCGGCAATCCAGAATGGAACCGCGCCACCTGTAACTTATGGCTATGTGGTCAATTTGGGTCCATCGCTGACCAGCTACAGGTGGACGCCAAGTGGCACTTCGGCGCCCACTGTGTCTAAAAGCAGTGCTAGTAAGAAACAACTGGTGCTCCGCACACAGTTGCAGCAGACGCTCGCCGTTGTCAGTCCGTTCGGAGTTAAGTCCATACTTACCACCCAGCTGAGCTTCTGAAGAGCTCAGACGCCCTACTTGTGCGTTCATATCCCCTGCAAGTACTATAATATCTGAACTAGTAGCACTGCGTAGCAGCGTGTTCAGTTCGGTACGGGTTCTATTTACTATGCATTTAAGCCTCTTCAGGTGCTTGAACTACACGTAACAAACAACAGCGTCTCGAGGCTAGTTCGTATGTTTCTTTTGCTTCTGATTTAATTGATCGCACTTGTTTCGGTACTGACTCTACCAGAGCTCTCTGTCCTTCTTAAAATCACTCCGGATGTCATTGTCCACGGAAACTTTCCCCCCTGGCTTTGCCATACTAAATTGGCGGGTCATCTAGTTGCCTATATTCCACAGATCATTTATTCGACCTTGCAACATCCTTATTACACGCGCGACTGTAGGTGGTCGCGTGAAGCATCAGTTCGAATTACCCACGTACTGCTGTGCATTTTTATACTCATGCAATATAGAGTGCCTCGTGAGCTTCCTATTCCTCATTTCCTCTTTACTCATGATGGAATTGGTCATGATAAAGTCTCTGCATTGTCCGACATGCAATTTCCGCGTGGATTGCATTGTGATGAACATAGCTCATGTGCAAGTCCTGCTGCATAAGCCGTGACGTTGCGCTACACTCCTCGGTGCGTGCTCTTTTTCTGTAAAGCAACAAGTACTGTTAACTAGACTTATTCACCACCAACTTTTAAAACTACAGAACAATTATTCAAAGTGCTCAATCCGTTTACTTATCCAACTAGGTGCATCTCCCGTGACATTTGCATCACCAAAGAGCTACCTTCACAATTTATCCTTCCAGAATATCTTACATTTATTGGAGATGGTGGAGTGTAAAGTAATTGGTCAACGGAGACGTATGCAACGTTACGACGCCGTTAGTATTGCTGTATGAATGCGAAACTGTTGCGTCTGAGCCCTACGATTGCTTCCACCCACTAACCGTAGTGAGAATATGAACGACCGGGTAGAAAACAATGTTCACGCCGCACGCCAAACCGGCCACCAAACGTCTGTGTGTGTGCAACTCAATGACATGATTCAAATTTGGGCATATCACAGGCTATGCAGAAAGGCTGACAATCGATCAATCAAAGCTAGTCATTCCCGGGGCGAAGGATCGATACGATGTCTCACGAACCAGCGGAATGTACAGTGTAAGGGAAAAACCATTAAGCATAAGATTCAGTGTCAACCCAAGCTAGTCACAAAGGTGAAGTAATAGAAAACATATGTGGGGAACCGTAAAAGAGGACGGGGTGAATAGGGGTGAGTGGAATAAAACTCACAAAACCACGGGGAGTGGTGGAGTACTCTTACCTCCGCTATAACAGAAACCTGATCACTAGGCAGAGCATTAACCCCTTAGTTGATTTTGATCACCGGTGCGATTGTTCGTTGTCCTAATCTGATGGTGGACCATATAGTAATCACTTCCTCTGTTGACGTTCGATGACACTGACTCGTCTGTTGAACCCGGGGGCGTCCTTGTTGATTAGTTTAAGCGATTCCTCCCCAACCGCTTGCACATGCTTTCATTGTTTATCAGTTCAGTTTCTGTTGGGTGAAACCTTTAGGTGGCGGATCGATGACATGACAGGGTTATAACAAGGTCGTTTGGACAGTTGTGTACCGTTTTCTCAGGTGGATCTCACGTTCGTTCTCATTGGTCGTCCTTTTTTCTTGATGAACTGCTCCACACTGCACCCCGAGACACGGATCATATTTGTCTAATTTAATGGGGAAACAAACGGTATATTTCTCGATATTGCTAGACACAGACCGATTTTGTACAACATGATCGCATAGTGGAGTGATTTGGTCGATGTAGTTCCTAATGTAGTGTTTGGAGTGTTCTATCAGTTCAAAGTAATAAAAGGGGGGAAAGTTGCGAATAGAAATAAATGTAATATACCGATTCACCTGCTTCTGTGAAGCTAAGGTATATTGGACGCACGACCAGAAAAATCGAATCAAGGAACACCTACTGAATTCGCTCACCAACCGCAGCGACAGATCTAAGCTAAGTGCAATTACTAACCATCTGATTGCCAATGGGCACAACACTGACAAAAGTAGTGCCTTCGAAATCCTGTACCGTCACACTTGACCCATCAGTTAGCAGCACGACTGCTTGCTACTGCTGAAGCAGTAAGCATAAGACTGATGAAGCCTAATCTCTGCATCCAAAAGAAGCTCATTCAAGCATTACAACTTCCATGGCCATCAACCACACGAGAGGAATTTGTTGCCGCCCATCAATCCCACGTGCCGCCAATCACCTGATCATCTGACGCTTATCACGAGAACTGTTTAAGTTTAATTTTATCTAATCAATGGTGTGTCACTATACTGTCCCACAAACCTGCCTGTCCATAAGTATATTTCTGTACTAGGCCCGATGAGGAAGAGATCGAAAACAATTGTTCATCCTAAGCGCTCTGCTTACGTTTTTTCTCGGGTTTGACATCCAAATGGGCATTCTGCACGAAATTAAATGTAGATGTAGCCGGAAGTTCACGTAAATCAATACAATCATCCGTGCGACCGTCTCCTGGGGACCTGCTTCCATGCAGGGAGTCCCTCGAAAGTTTTCATCCGCACTTACACTTCTCATCCACCCACGTGGCTTACAGCGACTAAGTCGTCATCATTTTGACTGGTTTTTGGCCGTTGTTAAGTGCAATAAGGCTGTCATCAATTTGACTCGTTTTCTTGCTTTCCCTTCATAATCAGGTGGCACCGTGGCCGATTTACCAACTATGACGAACAGTTCTGAACGGTTTGCGAAGCCAAATGGGCCATCTGAGCTACTTAATCTCCCTGGGACCACTCGCCGGGCTCCGGATACACCAACGGCTCCCAACGCTGGTGCGGCAATCTACGGTCAGCTGGTCACTGCAGATCAATTGGAGCAACTCAATGCAGCCAGTCACGGCGACTGTGTTTCCAAGCCGGACGATTCAGGAAAGTATTCCGGGACCAAGGGGAAAAGGCAGCTAGCCAAAGGCCGGTCCAATGCAGTGATTGAAGAGGACACCAAACTCTCAGTTGTCCAAGACTTTGATTCGACTACAAGTTCGCAACCCGCATATGCCAATTTGGATCTTTCCTATGCAACGAAAGCGATGCACAGTGATCTGTCCCATCAACCTATGGATATTACTCTGTGCCCCACGGATACAGATTATTGCCGTGTGGATGTTTCACTTACTCAGCCAATGGTAGTGGACTGTGCAATCCAGCGCGAAACCCCCTGCTCATCCAATCTCGTGAGCTCTGGCGGAACTGAACTCCCTGGGCTCATCAGTCCATGTGAGGCTAGTAGTCTCAAACACTCGCCCTGCACAGTTTCTCACTACAAAAACGGTTCGTCCCTGGCTAACACATCCCTCAATGGCCGTTACCCCATGGAAACCGGTTCCGTTCTTGTCAGGGATTATGAGCACCGTCCACTGATGAAAATGTCTGTCAATCTGATTCGAACGTACAAAAATATCAATGAGGTGAGTCACGAAATGCATCATATTCTGGTACTCATTAGATTTTCTGTGAACACAACACTTTACTTTTGGTACTTTTCCATTCACAGTGATTCACCATTGTTTTTTTGTAAATGCAATATTGTTGAAATTCCGTTTCGCACCGCGTCCAGTACTTAACCTGTAACGACGCAGCTTCGTTCTAATCTTTTCACTTAACCCACGTTGTACGTGTTTGAAGTTCGAGAAAACACTGATCTGTTTTTGACCGTCCCTTACTAGCAGCATGTCCTTGGGTCCTTGTTCACTCCTTAGAGGGGCATTAAATCACCTCGAGTAATGTGTCGATATTGTTACCATATTATTTCTCTTCAACCCAAATCTGATAGCTCCTTTTACTTACCTACATTTTCCCGATGAAGTTTGGCATGGACGTGGTTCGACTGTTTACATGCGTCTGCTCCACTGCTCCGTACCACGTTCTACCTTCTAATCACCTTCGGATCAGGTGATCTTTTGCTAACGCGGTCCTACACAACACTGATAAAGGACGAAACGATTGTTCCGTGTCCTACATTCTGCTGCATCGGTCAACAGTGTCGCTTAAATTCCCTTGGTATCTTTTTGAATATCGACGCCGTCCGAACTCTTCGGTTACCTCATTCTAATACCTTTGACGAACTTGTTCCCTTCATGTTTCCAATGTTACCAACTACATGTGTTATACTGTTCCGTTAGACCACGAGTTTCAATTGCACTTAATGCACACGAACAGGATGTATTAAAAAGCAACCTTCTAACGTTGCATCTGCGGCTAGGAGGTGACCGAATGAATTGCAGTGGTGGATGGCTGTTTTACATCCGCACAACTGGATACTTTGTTTTATATTATCCTCCTTGCTGATAGCTTAATCAAGCCAGCTGTGACACAGCCTAAGGGACCATTTATGAGTTTCTGTTTTTAGCCACAGGGATTCTGGTGGTTCCAGGATGCGCAGACTTCAGTCTTAGATCCCTCGGGTAACCTCTCTCCACCATCAACGGGTATGCTGTTTGTGTTTAAAGCTCTCTCTCTCTCTCTCTCTCTCTCTCTCTCTCTATATATATATATATATATATATATATATGTATATATGGTTGGCGGCATCCGGTTTCGGATTTGCCTGTCACTGTGGCAAGCCACAGGACGCCTGCGCCTACAGAGGGACCATGGATGGCTTGCGCTGCACAACCCACAGCTCCAACCACATACCCCATATCCAGTGTAAACCCGAAGGAATAAGACCAGGAGGCATGCGGATGGGAACCACGTTTCATCAACGGAGCCGGCCCACACTCCTTCACAGGCAAACACAAGCACGCTGTAGTTGGGGAATCAAGCGCACACAAGGCGGTGGCTGGACCGTAGTCCGCTCCACACTGAGTGCATGGAACCGCTCTTTGAGCCTAGCACGGCCACAAGGACCGTGCACCCCGTCCCCTCCAGCAACGACCAACTGTCTCCTGGAGCCAGTATGAACGATGTAGTGGGTAATAGACAGGTAGGCACCTTGTCAACATACACATCAAGCGCAACCACACCGGGATATCAAACAACAGCCATTCACTTTAAACGACAAGCTGAAATAAAATAAATCCAATAATGCATACAGATACGGTGGCATAACTCTTCGCTAAATTACCATATGAAGTAAGTTGGTTAGCAACAAATCCGTGATAAGTAAGAAATGTCCACAAGTTACTTAAAATGCTACAAACGCAACAAAATTACCGAAGATAAGCGCAATTAGTGTAAGCAACGTGGCCAGTTAATAGAACATTATTCAGGGAGGCAGAACAAACCAAATAAAGCGGAATGAAATTTATCCAGCTTAAAAGACCTAGTTTAAGTGTAAGTTGGTTTAGCCCAACTGCGGTGAAGAAGCATCAAGAATGCAACATCAGCCTCAGCATGGGGCACATATATGGTTGGCGGCATCCGGTTTCGGATTTGCCTGTCACTGTGGCCAGCCACAGGACGCCTGCGCCTACAGAGGGACCATGGATGGCTTGCGCTGCACCACCCACAGCTCCAACCACATACCCCATATCCAGTGTAAACCCGAAGGAATAAGACCAGGAGGCATGCGGATGGGAACCACGTTTCATCAACGGAGCCGGCCCACACTCCTTCACAGGCAAACACAAGCACGCTGTAGTTGGGGAATCAACCGCACACAAGGCGGTGGCTGGACCGTAGTCCGGTCCACACTGAGTGCATGGAACCGCTCTTTGAGCATCAAGAATGCAACATCAGCCTCAGCATATATATATATATATATATATATATATATATATATATATATATATCCCAGTTAACTGGAATAAATCGATCAAGGTAGCACTATGCAAGAAGGACGGTCACGAGTGTGCTAACCATAGGGGTATCAGCCTAACCCCTGTGAGGACAAAAGTACTAGCCTCATTTCGAAACGGGAATCCCGGATTAGGGAAGTGCAAACAGGTTTCCACTAAGAACGTCTCTGCGGCAGGCGAGAGAGCAGCGCCACACGTACCGCAGCCTGACAATCTTTGTGTTCTTGCATTTCAAGTGTGCGTTCGACTCAGTCAATCGATCCATTCTGTTCGAAATACTTGTGCAGAAAGGTGTTCCCGTGAAATATGTGAGCACGTTACATGATCTGCACTCGGGCACCAGAGGCCGCATTAGAGTCCACGGCGAATTGTCGGACATCTCTCTGAAAAAGTGGCGTTCGTCAGGGTTGTCCAGTTTCCCCACTTTTGTTTACCTTCGCCGTGGATTCCGTCATGGAGTGAGGAATCTCACGATGCAGGCGTTGAGGTGCTGCTTCATGGAAAACTTGTAAAGCTTGATTATGCTGACCATATTGTCTTGCTGTTTAACGATGTTGGAGGATAGCCTAGTCAAGTTGGAATCAATTCTCTAGAGTGGTCCCATCGCTTAAAATGCGCTTTGCACCTTCGGAATTAAAGTGTTGTTTCAGGACCATCAGTCACTTGTTCACCCTAGATCGCCAGGAGCTCGAGGTCGCTGATCAATTCACTTACCTTGGCAGTTGCATTAGGAACTGTAAGTGCATAACCACACGTTATTTCACGTACTAGATATACATGTATATGGTTGGCGGCATCCGGTTTCGGATTTTCCTGTCACTGTGGCCAGCCACAGAACGCCTGCGCCTACAGAGCGACCATGGGTGGCTTGCACTGCACCACCCACAGCTCCAACCACACCCCCAATATCCAGCGTAAACCCGAAGGAATAAGACCGAGAGGCATGTGGATGGGAGCCACGTTTCATCAACGGAGCCGGCCCACACTCCTTCACAGGCAAACACAAGCACGCTGTATTTGGGGAATCTAGCGCACACAAGGCGGTGGCTGGACCGTAGTCCGCTCCACACTGAGTGCATGGAACCGCTCTTCGAGCCTAGCGCGGCCACAAGGACCGTGCACCCCGTCCTCTCCAGCAACGACCAACTGTCTCCTGGAGGCAGTATGAACGAGGTAGTAGTTAATAGACATGTAGGCACCTTGTCAACATGCACATCAAGCGCAGCCACACCGGGGATATCAAGCAACAGCCAATCACTTGAAACGACAAGCTGAAATAAAACAAATCGAAGAATGCATACAGATGCGGTGGCATAACTCTTCGCTAAATTACCATATGAAGTAAGTTGGTCAGCAACAAATCCGTGATAAGTAAGAAATGTCCACAAGTTACTTAAAAATGCTACAAAGGCAACAAAATTACCGAAGATAAGCGTAATTAGCGTGAGCAAGGTGACCAGTTAATAGAAGATTATTCACGTAGGCAGAGCAAACCAAATAAAGTAGAATGAAATTTATCCAGCTTAAAAGGGCCTAGTTTAAGTGTATGTTGGTTTTGCCCAACTGCGGTGAAGAAGCATCGAGTATGCAACATCAGCCTCAAAATATATATATATATATATATATATATATATATATATATATATATATATATATATATATATGGTTGGCGGCATCCGGTTTCGGATTTTCCTGTCACTGTGGCCAGTCACAGGACGCCCGCGCCTACAGAGGGACCATGGATGGCTTGCGCTGCACCACCCACAGCTCCATCCACACACCCCATATCCGGTGTAAATCCGAAGGAATAAGACCGGGTGGCATGTGGATGGGAGCCACGTTTTATCAACAGAGCCGGCCCACACTCCTTCACAGGCAAACACAAGCACGCTGTATTTGGGGAATCAAGCGCACACAAGGCGGTGGCTGGACCGTAGTCCGCTCCACACTGAATGCATGGAACCACTCTTTGAGCCTAGCACCGCAACATTGACCGTGCACCCCGTCCCCTCCAGCAGCGACCAACAGTCTCCTGGAAGCAGTATGGACGAGGTAGTGGGTCATAGACAGGTAGGCACCTTGTCAACATGCACATCAAGCGCAGCCATACCGGGGATATCAAACAACAGCCAATTACTTGAAATGACATTACCAGATAAAATATATATGTTAAAGAATACGGCTATGCAGACGTAACTACACTAATTTGGCATATGAAGTATGTTGGTTAGCAATGAATCCGCGATGAGTACAAAATGTCCAGAAGTTACTCAAACATGCTACAAACGGACTAAAGTTAACAAAGATAACCACAATTAGCGTAAGCAAGATGGCCAGTTAATAGAAGATTATTCAGGTCGGCAGAACAAACCAAATAAGGTGGAATGAAATTTATTCCGCTTAAAAGGACCTAGTTTAATAGTAAGTTGGTTTAGCCCAGCTGCGGTGAAGAAGCATCAAGAATGCAACATCAGCCTCAGCATGGGGCACATATACTTAAATACATATACATATATGTATAGATTTCATTCCACTTTATTTGGTTTGTTCTGCCTACTTGAATAATCTTCTATTAACTGGTCATCTTGCTCACGCTAATTACACTTATCTTCGGCAACTTTATTGCCTTTGTAGCATTTTTAAGTAACTTGTGGACATTTTTCCTTAAA